GACCCCAGGGTTAACACTACTAATTAACAGCATTAAACAGTCATCAGTCAGTTCTGTGCTCACAGAACAAATGTTACAAATGTGAAGAAAATGGAGAACATAAATTCCACCTTTAAACAAAAACCCCACATGGGGATCTGCTTTTAAATAGTTTTGGCAGCAAAAGTATTTTTACTACGATTACAAGCAAACGAGCCCAAATCCTGAGAACTGGGACAGCCACCTTCCCTTGTCAGGCAGCCAAACCTGCAGTCTTTTTATCTGCTGCCCCTTGATAAATGGCAAGGATTCCCTCTCCTCCCCCACCCTCTCCTAAGAGCAGTTGCTGACTGTGCAGCCTGGGAATACAGACAATAATCTACTTTCCAGATTCCATAGGGAACATTTTGAAGTCAGTAAAACCAAGGATTTAAAATCTTAATTTAATCCCTTACCATGTTAAAATATTATACTTTCTCTTTTTCTTGAGTTTATCAAGATACAGTGTAGCAAACTAACATTTAAATGACCCGAAGCCCAGTTTTCCTAAGAGCCAACTCAACCACGGAACGGTTCGGGCTGGGCGGGACCGCAACGCCCACCCAGTCCCACCCCCCGCCCTTCGGGTGAGGAGATCCCGGTGACCCGGCGGTGATTCACGGGGGAATTTGGGGAGCTTTTCAAGCCCGACCCCCCCCTGCTCAGGGTCAGCTGCGGCACCCGAGCAGGTGCTCAGAGGCTTTTTACAGTCGCAGCTGCACCTCGTGGCAGTTTGATTTGCCCAGCACAGAAATGGACACGAATCAAGGACAAACCAACTTACAGGCGCAGAACAGATTAATTAAGGCTTCAAATAAAGACACTTTCTTTTCCCCAGGCAGTTCATATTTTCTATTTTTGTAAAAGGGAAAAACGATTTGTTGCCCACCTGGAGAAGATAAATCTCTGTTTAATGTTAATAAACAAATAAATAAACAAATAAATAAATAAATAAGGAGACCTTGCTTGAGTGTGCTGAGGTGAGCAAGGAGGCCACAGGACTTCACAAATTAAACCACTGTGCTGACCTGTGAAACCAGAAGACACATGATGTGTTTAAACATAATTCGTGATAAAAACTATCCAGTTCCAACTTCCTGACCGTGAAAGGGACACTTTCCACTAGACCAGGTTGCTCAGAGCCCCATCCAACCTGGCCTTGAACACTTCCAGGGATGGGGCAGCCACAGCAAGCTGTGCTAGGACCTCACCACCCTCACAGGGAAGGATTTTTTCCTAATATTTAACCTAAACCTCTTTTCAGTTTGAAGCCATTGTTCCCTGTCCTTTGTCTATTTACATGCCCTTGTAAATAGTCTTTATCTTTGCTGTAAGTTCCCTCCAGGTGCTGGAAGGCTGAAATTTTTCCCCGGGACCTTCTCGTTTCCAGGCCGGACAATCCCAGTTCCCCCAGCCTTTCCTCACAGGAGAGGTGCTCTGTCCTTCTGATCAGCCTGGTGGCCCCTCCTCTGGAGCTGGTGTTCACCAGGTGGAATCCGAGCTCAGACATCTCGAGCACATTTTTTCCTCAAGCCGCCGCCGTTCTGATGCGCGACTTCAGCCTTTAACTCAACACGAAACTTTACCGCCCGGGAGTTTACCGACCAATTAACAACCCGACGACGGGCTAAACGCTCCGCTGCCAGCACGGCGCTTGTTTACAACCGCTGCTCCGTGTCACTCGTGCGATGTGTGAGGTGGATGCGCTCCCCGCGGCCTGGCTGGGAGCGAACCCCTTGTACCCCAGGGGTCACCCCAGCGCTGACACCGCACCCACCGCGCGGCCCTGAGCCACTCCCCCGTCCCGGGCGTGACAAACCCGGCCCCAAGAGCTGGCTGAGCCGCTCCCCGGCCGCAGGGACGGCACAGCCCGATCCCAGGAGCCGAAAGAACCGCCGAGGCCTCCCCGGGCCCGGCTCCCCCTAAGGCCTCGCCGTTTCCATGGCAACGCCGCCCTGAGGCCCCCGCGCCGGGCTGCCCGCCGCGCTGCCTGACCTACCGCCATCCCCGCTCCCCGGACTAACTCCCCGCGCGCGCCGCCCGACCGGGAAGCCCTTCCCGATCCCACCGGGAACACCGGGAACAGCGGCGGGAGCAGAGCGGGGGGCTGCCCGCCGCGCCGCCTGACTGAAAAAGAAAAATAACAAAACGCCCCTCCGGAGGCTCGGCGGAGGTTCCGGGGCGGGGTGTCCGCGGCGCTGCCTGCGCGGAGCGGCGCGAGGTCCCCGCGTGTCCTCGGCGGTGCCTGTGTGGAAGTGCGGCCGGGGCCGCCCAGGGCCGGGGCCGGCGCTGGCGGGGGGCCCGGGGGGCCCGGCCGGGGGGCGGCGGGACGGGCGGCACGACCGGCAGGAGGAGGAGGCGGAGGAGGAGGAAGATCAGCAGGGGCGGCAGCAGCAGCAGCAGCAGGAGCGCGGCCCGGCCGCGATGGACCAGTGCGTGACGGTGGAGCGGGAGCTGGAGAAGGTGCTGCAGAAGTTCTCGGGATACGGGCAGCTCTGCGAGCGCAGCCTGGAGGAGCTGATCCAGTACGCGGGAGGGCTGCGCAGGGAGATCCTGCAGACGGAGAGTACGTGGAGAGACACCCCCTCCTTCCCCCTCCCCCCCGCACCTCTCCTTCCCTCCTCTGTACCTCCTCCGGGGGGAACCCCCCAAATTTGGGGTGTTGTGGCCCCAAAACTTCGGGCTGTGTGGGGTGGGGACCCTTCCAGGGAGAGCCCCTGCCCCGAGGGATCTGCGCTGGGGGGCTGAGCCGCGACCAACCCCCGGAGATTCGGGGCTTTTCTGACATGGGAAAGTTAAAAAGTGGGAGCGGGGGAGGTTTGGGGTGGATATTGAGAAAAGGTTCTTCACCCAGAGGGTGTCTGGGTGCTGGAACAGGCTCCCCAGGGAAGTGGTTACAATACCAAGCCTGACAGAGCCCAGGAAGGATTGGAATGATACTCAGAGGCACATGCTGTGACTCTTGGGAATGGCCCTGTGCAGGGCTGAGGCTTGGGCTGGAGGAGCCTTGGGGGTCCCTTCCAACTCAGCACATTCACTGTGATTCTGTGATGGGTCTCGGCCCTCCTGGGCCTCCCCTGCTTTTTTTGCGCTGCCCAAGAGGTTTGTTTATTCCCGATCAGCAGATCTGGCATGACCCTACTCGGGGTGTTCATAACCCTTGATGTTGGGTTACAAAGGGGTTGGTCACCCCGGGCCGGCCTGACCTGTTTGGTTTGGTGTTTTGTTTTGTTTTTATTATTTTTATTTTTTCCCCTCGTATTTCTTTTCTTTTTTTTCCTCTCTCTTTTCCTACGTCCCCTAAGTTGTGTTCGTTCCTTCGCTTGGGGGCTCGGGTTTGGTGATGTTTAGGGTAAGCAGGGAGTAAACACCGGCCCTGTCCGTGTGTCAGCTCGTGTTGGGCACTCGCCGGGGCTGTAAACACGGGACACTTAAAGGTTGTGAAATCTCAGAGGTGGAGGCCGGGCCGTGTTTTGTTGATGGAGTGGGAGGGAGCTGAAGTGATTTACCCGGGACCACGCAGGAAGCCGGGGATTAAAAATAGGAACTTGCCGGCTCCTGAGCCCAAACTTGGGAGCAAACGTGCCGCTGCTCTGCTTTTTGCTTTTGTTCGGTTCGGAGGAAACGCGTTTGCTGCGGGTCTTGTGCAAACGCAGGTGCAAAGCTCAGTCAGGAGCGTGGATAATTCCAGGAACGCCAGCAGGAGTGTGCTGGAGCTGCTCCCTGTGTACACAGCAGTTTCTATGGGCAGCAACCGTGGAATTCTCATTCCGAGGCGTTTGTTTGGGATGAAAAAAAACACCACGATTGGTGTTTTTGACACTGTTTTTGAACTGCGTTTCAAGCTGCTGTTTGTGCCGTTTGGAGCAGTCTGGGCTTGGGCATTGAGGCCGGTCAATAAAATGTGTGTCTTCACAATCTGACCTGGCCTGGAGCGCTCATGGTGTGACCCTCACGCTTGTGTTGGTCTTTGCTGGGCTGTAGAGGTTTGTCTGGGAGAATCCCATTGCAGGTCCGGAGCTTCTGCTCTCTTTGTGATAAAATTAAAAGAGTCCCATGTGGGATTCCTTCAGTGTCCTTGTTGAGTTTTCCATCCAGGCTTGGATTAGCAGTTTTTGGGGCTGTCCAGTGAAGGCCCTGGACATACTTTCAGCGCTTACCAAGTGGTGATGCTGTCCCAGAGAGCACATCCCAAAGGGAACTTTCTTTTAGTAGAATGAAGCCACTATGTTATTAGTGCACACTGAGACATCTGGGGACTCCTCAATTTTGGCATCTGAGGGTGAGCTGGCTTCATAGGTAGCAAAATTATATTTTTGTGGGGGTTTTTTTGTTTGTTTGTTTTGTTGTTGTTTTTTGTTTTGTTTTTCTTTAGCATGTTATATATCACTTTCTAACAAGAACGGGTATTTGCAGCTTTTATAGGCTGTTTCCTGAGGATTTTTGAAAATTGGTAGTGTTGAAAGCAGCCGGATAGCTCAATGTGGAGCTCTGATTCAGGGGTATGGACTGCAGAAATATGCTTGAGTATGCTATTTTAAAGGAAAAAAAGGAAGAGAAATGAAAACCCTCACTGCTGAAGAAGAAGTTAATGCTGTAGGACAAGATCTGAGAGCAAAGATGCATGAAAAGACCTTAAATAGGCAGTGGATATAAAAAGGAAGTGGGTGGGGAAAAAGAAACCATTAGAAGCTGCTTTAACCTCTAAACCGTGGGGTTCCCCCATCCCCCAGTCTCTTAAAATGTCTTTTTTTCATGTTAAAGCCTGAGGACAGACCAGCCCTATCTGTGCTCAGTCCTGGGAGGGGGAAGGCAAAGTTTGTTTTTCTTCTCCCTTCCCCTCATACATCTGTCTTTCTGGGGCAGCCAAGGCAGGGCTTGCATATTCCTGGATGGTATAAATGTGTCTGGCTGAGTAAACTTGGCTTTGGGCTCTGCCTTGTGCCCAGTGTCTGCTGGCCAGTGTATTTATTTATTTTTTTAATTGTGACTGTAGGTGTTCGGCTGTGGTGTCCTGTGAACCCTGAATTACCAGGAGGGCTGGTTCCAGGCTCTCTCCTGCTCATTTATTATGAGCAGCTCGTAGTTTGGTTGAAACTGGAAGAGAGGGGTGCAGAGGGGAAACCTTTTACAGCTCTGATGACTTTTCCCGGGTAGACATTTTCATTGCTTTACAGGAGTTGGTTTCTGCTGCAGTAAATGTCAGGGGCCAGTAATTCACTCACTTGCTTGGCCTAAAAGCAGTTACCCATGTGGGTTGTTTGGGTTTTAGCTTAATGGCTCTTCTTGCAAAAAAAAAAAAAACCAAAAAAAAAACCACCAAAAGTGTATTTTAGCTTCTCTGTTCATTGCAGAGTGAGTGTTTCCATTTTGCATGTTCTGTAATCTCTTGGCTGATCACTTCGTGGTGGCAAAAGCCACGAGACAGTTAAAGATCCTTCGTGTGATTTTACACGTCTGTCATAAAAATTAAACAGCAACTGAGAAATACGGATATTCTTAAAATAATTTTAGGAGGTGAACTCTATGTAATAGCTGAGCGAATTTTTCATTTGTAATTCGGGTTGCACAGAGTCATGGAATTGACTGTTTCAATCCTTGTTACTCCTCACCCATCCACTAGAAAAAAAAATAAAATAGAGAGCCCCATTAGCCATTTGCCTGGGAGGTGATCGTTGGCTTCATGGGACTGGAGGGGGTTAAAGCTTTTTTCTTTCTTGAAAGCTGTGGCTTTGTGGGGCTGGACAGGAGCTGTTTGCTTGGTTAGAGGTGAGGTGAGATAGCTCAGTGTGCAGCAACAGAGGGCAAGGTATCTAGAAAAAGTGCCAGTGGAATCGTTATCCGTCCCCTGTGGTCGCATCTTTTTTCTGGATTTCCTTTGCTGTCTCCAGAAACTGTGCTCTTAATATGCTGCTGAAACTAAAAACATGTTAAAATAAGAAATCAAAAAGGAACAAACTTTAAGAGTAAACACGTTTTCCATTAAATCAAAAGCAGGAAGAAAGGACTGGGGTAAAGCACTGAAAAATGTATTTTTTCTGTTGTTTTTCCTCCTGACTAAATCTCCTGAGTGACGTTTGAAGCAAGGCACAGAGGGTGTAAACTGTGAAGTGCCGTGATGGGGCTTGTAAAGCTTTCCTGTTTGTTATTTTGTTCACAGAATGGGTTGTTGGACATCAGCTAAAAATGTCCCAGTTTCTAGAGAATAAATCTCACAGCAATGTCCACTGGCCCTTCATGGGCTGCTTCTTATCCATAGAGGGGAACTGGAGGGTGGCTGGCTGAACTTCCAGAGGTGTTTCCGTGAGTCAGGAAGCAGAAGTTTGATACAGCTCAAACACAGTCCAACAGACGTGGGTGGTTTGTGGGGCAGGAATTAACTGGACTCTGATTAATCCACATTTTGCTTGCACCTTGTTGTAGTTAAAGGTGATGTTCTGATGTACCTTCGGGGTCTGTCTGAAGGAGAACTCATCCTGTAGTAGCTTCAGCAGCTCTCTGTTATGCCCTGAGACATTTGTGGATTGGGTGTTCCTTTGAGGTGTTTATTCATACACCGTGACTGAGACACATGAGAACTTTACATTAATTTTTAAAACTGTTGCCCTTGTTCACTGTTACTGTGCCCCCAGCTGGATTCCCAGTTCCCCAGGTGAGTTTTCACACAGGTGAATTCCTGTCTTTTTTGCCTCCCTTTGCACTGAGATTGCTTTGCAAACACCCCCTAGATTGCATTTCTTTTTTTTGGTACCACTTTTTATATGTTGCACGTTAAGAGATTGGATGTTACCATTTGTCTGTAACAAAGTGAGTAATTTTCCTCTCTTTTGTCTAGATCAAGATGGAGACTTGTCAGGGACGATTTCACTTGTTATGACGCAGTGTTGTAAAAGAATAAAAGACACAGTCCAAAAACTGGCCTCTGATCATAAGGACATTCACAGCAGCGTATCCCGAGTCGGAAAAGCCATTGATAAGGTACTTATTTTGTGGTTTGATTGTATTATAGCATCAATTCTGTGGCATGTGCTCTGCTTTAGAAAATCTGGATTTATCCTACAGTCAGTCTTAACTAAATCTTCCCGACAGCTACAGAAGCAGAGGTGAGACAGGGGGCTGTGGAGTGCTTGCTTTTAGAACTTACTGCAGACAGAGTATTCCTTCTGGGGGCAGCTCAAATCTCTTCATTTTTGTGAGAACACTCCCTGCAGATACTACAAGACTTAGTATATTTTGTATTTTATTGGTTTAGCAGGATGGTTGTTTCAGTATCTGTCTCAGTAAGAAATACTGTGATTTATATATATAATTTTACTTAATTGTCAGTAGCAGGTAACTCAGAAGTGCCTTTTTGTTCTGGAAAGCAGGACAAGTGGCTGCCTCATCCCTGGAAGTGTTCAAGGCCAGGTTGAATTGGGCTTGGGCCAACCTGGTCTAATGGGAGGTGTCCCTGCTCATGGCAGGGGGTTGGAATGAGGTGATCTTTAAAGTTCCTTCCAACCCAAAGCACTCTGTGATTCTGTAGGATCAGAGAATTTTTGAAGAAAGACGTTTTGTACATATTTCAGGGGTGTTGTTGGTTTTGGGGCTTAATTTTATAAGACAGTCTAAATGTGAGTAGAGTAGATTGAACATCTTGTAGTCTATTGTGCCATAACAAATAGGGCAGCTTATCTTTGGAGCTTTGCATATGAGGTGTTCTGAGATGAATTCCAGGTTCAAGAATAACTGGGAATCTGAATATTTTTGTAGGTAAATATTAACAATTTTTTGAATTGATACTACAGTGGTACTATATATATACTTTCAGGCCATGCTTTTCTCCATCTGTGTTCTCTTCTCTATTCAGGGAGTCTTGTGCTTGGGTTTTTTCGACATTCTTGTGATAGTTTCACATCAGAACATGCCTCTGTTGACAGGGTCTAAATGTGTGGTTTGAGGTGCACCTTATAATCTTATTAAGAAAGAGGCCTGTCAATGAGTCTTTTCACCTGAACAAAGACATTTGCAGCATTACCCCATCCCGATTTATCCTTTGGGAATCTCATTTAAGCTTTGTTAGTAATGATAATCTGTTAAAGCACAATCTAACAGTAGTGTGGTGAAGGAGCAAAGTACTTAATGCTGCATTATTGGGCAGAATGTCCTTGAAAATGTTGTATTTTTCGCTTTTATGTGTGGCTGACCATCATGGAGAGCTCAAACTTTGTAGTAATAACTTTAATCCACACGTCACTTATCCAAAGCTTAAGGATGCATCTGTCTCAAATCCTTGCTGCTGCACCTAAACCAATTAACTAGAGTAAAATTCCATCCTCATTACCGGCTTGAAGCCTGAAATAAATCTATGTAATCTTGTCCTAAGTTTTAAACTTTCCTATTCTGCTTTAGCAAGTGGACTTTGTGCAAATACGCTTTTGGGTTTGGCCAAACCTTCTTCATTTAAATCCTCTGAGGTAGAACAGCCCCAGGTCACATGTAGAGGGTGTGAATGTCCAGTGGAAATTGGGGATAGTATTTCTTACAAGCCAGAAGAAAACAATACTTGCAAGCTTAAAGCATTTTAGGCTTGAGTCTGATCTCCAAATTGCTGTTTTAGTTTTCATGGGAATGGAGTTTTTCCAGTATTATTTCTGTCCCTCTGTTCTAAGTTTATCTACTATTTTTATTTGAAAAGGGATAGATGTAAATAAAAATCAATTTTTAAGTTTCCAGTGTGTGGTTTTGTGAAACAGTAGCAAGGATCTGGATAATCCTTTCCTGCTCTGAGCCTGTTGAGTGTCAGGAGGGCTGTTTAAAAAACGAGCTCAACTTGCTGCGTTCAGTGCGCTCCTTCCTCTGGATTTTCAGTCTCAGTGTCTGTGGTGGTTGGATTTAAAGACTGGAAGCAGTGGGAACTGCATGGGGTTCCAGTTTGCTTGTAACGAAGGGTGAAGTTTTATGAAGCTCAGAGCACAAGTTAGGATTGTCCCCTTAAAATACAGACTTGGTTGAGCTTTTCTTTTTACAGCAAGCAGCTTGAATTTTGTTGGTCTTCCCCAACTGCTAGTCAGGGAAGTACTTTAAAATGTGCCTTGGCCTGTTTGTCAGATGAATACGTGAAATGTTTAAATCCAGGTGGAATTCAGCCTTTCCCTGAACAGTGACATTTGAAGGAAATCTTCCATATGTAGTTAATGAAATTTCCCTGTGCTGCTGGAAAATATGTTTGAAACCTGCCAGCAAAGTCTTCGTTGGCTCCCATAACCTACTGGAAACGCCCTCCCCCATCCCTTCACCATAATATGCTCAAGCTTAAACCAATAGAAGTAATTAAGTGTAATTGATGTAGTGAATTGATTCTCAGCACGTTTCTGGACAAAATACTGCTGCTCCCAAAATAAAACACTCATTAGAATGTAAAGAAGCACAGCCCTCGCCTTGATTCACGAGGTTTGACTTTTGTTTCGAACTTTATAGACAGATTAACGTCTCCACAGCACTGCTTGTGGTCTCCCTGGCTGTGCGTGCTCAGGCACAACAGATAAATGTAACTCATTATTTTGTTGCCTGGTTTGAGATTGGGAAACGTGGTAATGCTGGTGCCAGTTTAATGTGACACAGCCAAATGACAGCTGTTACTGAATGTGGAATCAACAAACTTCCTCCTTAGCAAGCCCAGCTTGTGAAAGAACTTGCTGTATTGTCTGCTCGTGGCAATTTCGCCTTAAATTTCTTTTTTTTCCCCCTGTTTTGAGGCAGGATTGTACCTACGTGTAAAGTTTAGTGTGGTCAGGTTTTAAGCTTAACCTTTTTTCGTAGTAGTTCTACGTGGATCACACGCTTCTGATTCATGAAAGGTTCCTCTCTCTTCCGGAGAGCATTTTCTCCTTTGAAAGGAATTGTTTGCATCCAGTTTTTTTCTGTATTGTACGAGCATTTGCTCTGCTTCCAGAACTCGTCCATGTCACTGCTGTTCAGCAAGTTATCAGGCACCTCCCTCATCAGCGTCCCTGTAAATCATTCTGGAATGATTTGAATTCATCTCAGAGCTTTTTTGATGGGCTGGTCAATGTTTTCCCTCTAGCAGCAATCTGTCTGAGTAGCGGTTAAATGCCTTCATTTAGGAATAAGTGGAGTAAATGGCAGCTCCCTTCGTTTTTCCTCTCAGAGTTTGAAACCTGTTAAAAGGCCAACATTTTAATTAATGCTTTGGGAAGGCAAACTTTTACCTAAGTTAATGTTTGTTTCATGTAAAAACTTGTGTATGAGCAAACTAAAAACCTTTACTGAACTTAGTATAACTGTGAAGAATGGGGCTAAATAAATACAGAGTCTTGGCAAGTTGTGCTTTATCTTATGTGCAAACAGACTGAACAGAGAGGGTAAACAAATATTTGATTCGTATTTTGGGTCAGAATTCCGAAGGGAAGAATGGACAAAATAATCTCAGCTGAGGAATGAAACTGTCCTTAATCATCATCCTTCTTCATGTTGTGATGTTAGGAATAACATAGAGGGTTGGATGTTGGTTAAAATGGTCCATCTTGTGTTTGTGTGCATCTTGAGGTCCTCACATTCTAGCAGTTATTAGTAGTGTGTTGTTTCACTGGTGTTTGATTGGTGAATTTGGCACGTAATATTTCTAAATTTTGGCCCTGGACTTACTAGTTGGGCTCTTAAAAACAAGGTTTGTTTCTCAGGAGTATTCGCTGACACTTAGGTTGTTTTGCGCTTTTCAGGTTTTAAGCTTTCCGGAGTTTTTAACTTGTGGAATTTATTTTAACTTTTGAAATCTTATTAAACCCCACGTGCTGTCAGTTAGCATACTGTTAGCATTTAGAAAACAAAACTGAGGGGTGTGCAGTCACCAGCAGCTCATCCATGCGTGGCAGTTATGAAATACATAAGCCAAAGGCAAGTGGTAATTTGTTCTGACATGTGACAGTCACTCACTGTAATATGTGCAGTCAGTTCCTGAAGCTCCTCAGGGCCCAGAGGAGGCAGAGCTGTGGAATCCCACACTCACCTCAGGAACCGTTTAAAACAAAACAAAAAAGTTATTGGAATGAGAACCTGATCAAGACAGGGTTGATCAGAGAGTGACTGAGGGGAAGTGAAAAAGCTTGAGGTCCTCAGGTTGTGCGATGTGACTTGAATCTGCAGCACGTCCAGGTTGACACGACTCGTTACCACCTTCTGTGGGAATTAAAACTCTTAACTTAGGATGGGGTTCACAACAAGATTTGTTGTTTCAAAAGAAAATGAGTATTTTGTGAGGGCACGGAGCTCCACTGCCCCTGTCCCCAGGCAGCGAGGAGGATGTGACAATGTCTGAGGCATGGGTTCAGCTTGAATGTTTGGTAACTGCCCAGAAGAATGAGGTTTCTGCTTACAGGGTTATACAGCTTAAAGTCAATTACTTTTAGATTACTGCTGATCTCCACCCTGGAATCTAAGTACCAAAGGCATGCCTGTGTATTCTGAATACTGCCCCTGATATTGCTTTAGTGCGTTGTTGATGGATTTGTTACCTACTGGTGGTGTTTAGACACTGATAATAGGAATCAGCAATGGTGGTGAGCCTTTAGGGATTCAAATAGTTGGCACAAATAAGCAAAGTATTATTAAATCTTTAAGATGCTTAAGTTTTTCAGGATACAGCTTAAAGATGAGCAGCATGGCAAGGAGCTTACAGGGTAAGATACCCCAGTGAAAATGTTGTTAAATGTGAGATTTGAATCAGTGGGGATAATTTAAATGCTCATTTTGCTCCACCATCTCGGAGAGATGGAAGAGACAATTTACTGCACTTAAGGTTTTTGCTGAAAGTTTGCTGAGAGACCTGAAGGGAGGGGCGGCTTTGTAGCCGTGGCTGAGAAGGCTGCCCCTTTCTCAGGATGCAACACAGAGCAACATCAAAGGAGCTGTGAAGGTGCTGATGAAGGAAATAATTAAGTGGTGAGTAAAAGGAGGGTGCTGTGTGAGGCTGAGCTGTGCACAGGAAGGCAGCTGGTGCCAGCTGTGTGTTATCTGCCGTGACAGAACCCTGTGTTTGTGCGAGATCGGCACTCCCCTGATGCCCAGGGCTGTGGATCCTCACGGAGCTGCAGCTGAAGCGCTGCTGTTTGCACTGAACTCCTGATTTCTGAAGTTCCTCCTTGGGAGAGAGCCCTGGAGAGAGAGCCACGGTGATCACATCAGGCAGCAAGCAAGGCGCTGGCTTTGAGACTTCTTATTTTGCAGGAGCTTTATTTTAGGCAATGGAGGAGGATTTTTATTCAAATGAACCTGCCTGCCCTCATCACAGAACATGTTAGCAGTTAAAATCCTGGTTTATATCTTGGATTGGAACAAATGTTGCTCTCCTGCTGCCAAGAGGCACAGTGCCAAGCAGTGCCAAGTGTTACCAGAGAGTCACTGTGACAATATCTTTAGTTATTCCTGGAATATGTCCATAGGCCACTGGCCTAAAAATACACAGCAGCAGGATCATCTGGGTTAGAGCTGTAAAAGATCTCTTGGACTTTCAAAGCTCATTCTCTTGCTGGGATGTTGAGGTCTTCAGAGATTTGAATTTCACTGTTGTTTGGGGGTGAAAAAGTGACTTTTTCCTTTCTCAGCGTTGTCTACCCCCCTCCCCCTGTTACATAAAATAATCTTGAGTTAAAACTTTTGACTCCAGTTTGGAGTGCTGCAGTGACAGTGGTGCATTGATAACACTGTCTTGATACTGGTGTGCACTTTTCTGTTCTCTGTTTTCTGGACATTTTCAGTTTTCACATACGGAAAAAGGTTTTTCTGCAGATACTTCCTTCAGAAACACGTCATGGGCTGGAAACCGCTTTGCTAGTTATCTGAATTTCTAACTTTCTAGCTAGACTTGTAATTTGCCAGTTCCTTACAGTGAATAATATTCAGACTTGAAATGAGCAAGCCGAAGGATTTGTTCTTCCATACACAGGAGATTCTGAAGCAGCTGACAGATGCATTTCACTTTGGAGGTAATTGAGGCCAACTGAGTAATAGGCACAAGGCATCAGGGTGGAGACACAGGTGTCCTGCATAATTAAGGAAAAATGATGTGGGGTGATTTGTTCCAGCCCATTAACTGATAATTTGGTGCGTTTCAGAACTTTGACTCGGACATCAGCAGCGTGGGGATAGATGGGTGCTGGCAGGCTGACAGCCAGAGGATCCTCAACGAGGTGATGGTGGAGCACTTCTTCCGGCAGGGAATGCTGGATGTAGCTGAGGAGCTTTGTCAGGTAAGGATGAGTGTGGGTGTTGAAGGTTATGAGCTGCGGAAAAGATGCTCTGTGTTACCTTCCTTATTTGAATGTTCCAGGTCAATATTTAAGCTGTCAGAGAACCAACAAATCAATCTCATTGTGTTTTTCATGCTTTCATTAAAAACTACCTTTTTTTTTTTTTTTTTTTCCAGGAATCTGGTCTATCAATAGATCAAAGTCAAAAAGAACCGTTTGTGGAGTTAAATCGAATATTGGAAGCATTAAAAGTTAGAGTTTTGAGACCTGCACTAGAGTGAGTCTACTCATTTTTTTTCCTCCTCCCCCCCTTCCCCCCCTTTTTTTTTTTAACAAAAGGGACACCTGTTAGTGGGATTTCTTCTGAACAAAACAATTCAGTTAATGTAAGACAGTGGATAGTGATGACTGCTCAGACCAAAACCAAGTCTGGGAATTGCGGTTGTCTGAGATCTGTCAATCAGCCTTAGACCAGGATATTTCCTTGACCTCAGTAGACTTTACAACCCTTACACATGGTGCTAAAAGCAACAGTGAGGAGGGAAAGGTGATGAAATGTCTCAAGGGCTGCAGTTTTATGATTTACAGTAGTGTAAAACTGCACGCCATTTCAGAATGGCTTTTAACTTAAAAATAAGAAAGCCCCCAAAAAAACTCTCAGCCTAATTTTTTTAAGTTTTCATAAGCCTGGGCTGGTCTCAGAAATAAGAAAAAAAAAAACAGCCACAAAACACAAAAACCCAAACCAACCAACCAAAACAACTAAACCAACTCTGAAGCGACCTTTTAAAAACAGAAACCGTGAAACAAAAGCAAATTCAAAATTTCTGTGTTTCATTCCTGAGCGTAATTCACATACTTAAGATACCTTTTTTGCATTATTCACTTAAGTACATTTTCCTATTAACGAACATTTTCTTTTCCCTTTAACCTGAACCAGCAGAGGTGTCTCAATTCAGTGCTTTATTGGCATCTAATCCAAGTGCAGGGACACTCTGATACTCAAAGTTCATCAGCTAAATCCTGTGTTATGCCTCTGGGTCATGCAAAGTTTGACCTAAATAGCTGGCCTTCAAATAGAGTTGCACAGGTGGAAAGGTGGGGTGGTTTATTGCTGTTGAATTGGCTAAACCGAAGGGAAGCAACACTGCTGTAACAACTGAAACAGGATTTACTGTCAGCCACACCATGTGTTTCTTATAGTTCAAATAGCAAACGGAGCTGTTGTGAAGGATAATCCCCCAGGAACAGTAATTTGCTGTTATATCTGTTCCCTTGAAGCCCCTAAATTCATTTTAGCTGCAGTTTGCAGTGCTTTATGCCTTATCCATTGCTTCCTAGCTGTATCTTGTAGTTTCTGCAATGAGTTAAATATTTTTCAAACGCAGGAGAAGGCATGGTTGTCTGTCCTCCAAAGGAATTCTTATTCCAGCTGAATGGGCAGACAATAGGGTGTATTGTCAGCACACTTTGTGTGCTGGTCTCCCTCCCCCACCCTGTCTTATTTCTGTGGATAATGTTTATTCTGTTTAAACTGGACAGTGCAAGAGCTGTCTGCTTCTCTTTGCTGCTGCTGGGCACAGAGGGGCCTTATTTATAGTGCTGTTTATGTAAAAACCATAGGGAGGATGATCAGCATGTGACAAAATGTCGTGGTTTAGACATAGTTTTAACTCTCTGGTGTAGAAGATAACCCATGTCTTAAATGCCCAGTTACTCCTGATGTCAGTAAAGGGATTTCCCATGTTATTTCCTAGCAGATATGAGTGGTCAGGAGGAGGGATGGAAACCAGTCCTGGATGGGATGATCTCCGTATGATAGATGGCATTGTGGCATCGTGCTCTTTGGGCTAAAACTGGCATCAGTAAATGCAGCTCCAGGGGTGCACAAAGGAGTCCCAAACTGGCCCATGGCAGGGTCAGGCTGCTGACAGTGGTATTGAAGCAGAAAGGTGTCACACAAGGATGATTCGTTACAGTTCCACGAACCAGGAAGGGGAGCACAGCAGGGTTTATCCACACAAAATCGTGGAAGGTTGGGATTAAAACAGCAACCAGTCTCTCTGGCTCTGCCAGTGCTCTGTGCTTGTGCTGGGCTTAACTCAGTGTTGGAAACAAAACAAACACAAGTGGCTCCTGGTCGCTGCCATGGGAAGGGAGTTGTCAGCTTAATCACTTTTCCAATAGACTTTCAAACCCCTGCTGAGGTGATAGAGAGAAATTAGTATTTGTGTCTCAGAAAAAAATAAGACACCAACTGTATTTTTTTTTTTTTTTTTTTAGATTTTCTTTAATACAAATTCCAACACTTAAAAATGTGACACTTCAGATTTAAATAGAATATGAGTGGCCATAACTTTTTTGTTTTCCCTTGTGGAGTGTGCAGCTTGACTTTTGTAGATGCCCAGTCTGCCCCTGTACCATAAACTGTGTAATCTCTGTACCCCTTCAGGATCCCATTGGTTTCCAGTGACTTTTCTTACTGTAATTTGGTGATGCAGAGGAGAAATACACTGGTTTTTTTTTTTCCTGAATGGATTCTGGCCCTTTGGAGGTCACGTTGGGTCTCCCATGTGAAGGTCTGGTGGGAATGACTTGCAGGTTCCCAGCTTTTGTCTGTAATTTGGGAAGAGATGCTGTCTTCACCTCTCTCTGTAAACAGGAGGGTGCACAGGTCACTCAGAAGTGAAAGCACTTAGAGTATCATTCTGAGAGGAGGTAAGAAGACAGGTGATGTGATTACTAACAATTTTGGACAGTGGTAGAGAGTGTGTGGGTTGGATATTTTAAACCCCACTTGCTGTTTTTTTTTTTTGTTGTTTTTCCCTTGGCAGTAGGAACAGCGTGTCCCAGACCAAACACCTCAGGCCTTGCTCCTGTGGTTGCTTTCTTTTGATACAAATCTGTGCTGCCACTCAAAAGAACTAAAAATGGAAAGGCTGCCTAAAAGCTAATTTGGAAAAATAGGCTGGGCCTCAGCGAGATGAAGTGCTCTGTCATGTGGGTGTGAATATTGGCAGGGAGAGGACGGAGGCTCTTTTGATGCAGCAGAGATTAATATCTCATTGATGGGACTGTGGACTAGCCTTGGTGTTTATTTATAATTTTTTGTCCTTCAGCTACTTATTAGTCTGTGGTTGTTAACTTCAGCCTCTTGTTTTTGTAGCCTGGATTGAACTTTATTGCCACTATTCCTGGTTTAAACTGGGCACATTGATCATAAAAATACAGTTTAAAAAAACCCCCAAAATTTATAAAAACACCCCAAACCTCACCCACCCCCCATGGTTAGTGAGAGTGCTCTTCCCTCCTGGTGGAGATGACAGTGCTGACAGTCTTATGAGGCTGCCCATCTGAAACTGCTTTGAAATTAGGGACAGTAGGGCTTGTTCCTGGTTCAAAGGCTCCATTTTTCACTCTTTTCCTACTGAAAGGTTCCTGGGTCTTTACAAAGCCTTGTCAGTGAGGTCAGACCACTGACACTTTCACCACAACAAGTTGAAAGTGGATACTTGCTCATTAATGCTCTACCTTCTTGCTTTGAAAGCCTTATCAATATTGCAAGGATGCTTAATTTTCTCATTTTAGTATTGATTGAAGGAAACAGAAGCCTCACATACCCTTTTTGGTTTTGTTTGAGTTTGTTGTTTTTTTTTTTTTAAGGAACAGAGACTTCCTTCACTTGCTGACAAGTGAAAAGCTTTTTTCTTAATGGGTGAAAATACAGTGAAAGTAGTAGAACTAATTAACACTAATGAGAAACAGATGTACTGTAGAACATTGAAATTTGAGGTTCTTAAGAGAGAGAGTGGATTGATTTAGGCCTGACTGAATTAAGGAAAAAAAAAAACCTGAAACAAAACTCAAAGAACCTCCCAAAAAAACCCAAGAAAGGGATGGACGAATTCTAAATAACAATGTAGAATTTTGAAAATTCCAGTTCATTTTACCCAATGTGTGTTTGAGAATTCTTTCATGGTCTTTAGGAGCCAAACATTGGTGTTGTCTTGGTGAATGAGACACAGCAAGTGAGAAATATTCTTATTGTCCAAGTCGGAAATAACACAGAAAGCAAAGTTTATCTGGGGTAAAGTATGATAATTAGGCTGACTTCCCTTCTCCCACGGTGAGATCTTGATAATGTCTGTCTTGGAGGTCCCACAGATGCAATTCCCCTCTCCAGGGTGCACATACAAACAGAGTGGCTTGGAGAACATGTTTGGTGAATGAGGACACAGGAAAACGTTCTTGAAAGGCTCGCTCAGACTTCTTCAACGTGCAGCTGAAGAACTGTCAGTAATTGTTAAAACGAAGATCAAGTGTTGTTAATTTATATACAGCAGATTCTAGCTATTTCTGCCTTTTGTTGTGCCTGATTTAGTCTTGTCCTCCAGCCAGTGAGTGCTGAATTTTGCAGGTTTTAACCTCTGCAGCAGCACCAGAAGTACCACAGTCCACGTGTTGTGTGCCCTGTGTAGCTCCTTCACTTGTAAAGGGTCCTGCCATTTTCTGTGCTCTGTAGAGACTCTCAAAAGTTCAGGGAACAGTCATAGTTCCCTTGAAATAGAGGGTAGATAATTGTGATAATTTCACAGGGTGTAGGCTGGCACTTCATTCCTCTCGTGTCACGTCCCATTGTGCCTCCTCGTTTCTTCCAGGTGGGCGGTATCCAACAGAGAAATGCTCATGGCACAGAACAGCTCGTTGGAATTTAAGCTGCACAGATTGTATTTCATTAGTTTATTGATGGGGGGAACAGCAAATCAAAGAGAAGCCCTTCAGTACGCGAAAAACTTCCAGCCCTTCGCCCTAAATCATCAGAAAGGTACATTTTTTGGTCATGTTAAGGGGATTTAAAGCACTGGGATTTAAAGCACCTTGTAGTAAAATATTAATCATGTTCCAAATGGGCCTTACTCTGTTTATCAGTTTGTTAGAGGCTTCTTATTTTTCTATTTAATGTGTATAACCCGAATCCTTACAATTTGAATTGTCTTTTTTTTCCTCTTTTTTTTTTAAGGGGACGTAAATAAATGTGAATGTTTGCACATTTGCTTAACATCAAGGTTTTTGACTCTTTAAATAAATCCGTAGATTACACCTGTAATAGGCCTGTGCCAGGGTAAAGTGTTAAAAATGCACAGGAATGTTCTTGGAATAGTCATCTGCTATTCTCTGCTGCGTGGGGTAACACAAAGAGAAGTGAAACTTTTGAAAAATGGGGAACACGTGAGTTAAATGAACCATCTCAACCTGAGCCCAGTAAAGCCTATTTTTTGGGGGTAGTGTGTGTATGTCAGAAAGCTCACAAGAAAAGTAAAGCTGTTTGAAGCAGATTCCAGGGCAGCACGCCCTGCCTGCGGCGGGGCAGACAAATCCCCACTCAGTCCGCAGTGGAATGGAGTGTTCTGGCACAGGTGAGGATGTGAGTTATCAATACTGCCTGTTTTCCACGTGAGAGCTCTTAACTGCAGACACAAGCTTTTTGTTTGTTGCATAAAGTTATCTCCCTGCTCCTGGTGCCTCGCAGATATTCAGGTGTTGATGGGCAGCCTGGTGTACCTGCGGCAAGGCATCGAGAACTCCCCGTACGTCCACCTGCTGGATGCAAACCAGTGGGCTGACATCTGTGACATCTTCACCAGGGATGCCTGTGCTCTCCTGGGCCTCTCAGTGGAATCACCTCTCAGTGTTAGGTAACGCTGCTTTTCCTTTGCTTTTGCACGTTCGTTGTGGTTCGGTTTCTGTTTCTTATTGAGGACCAAAGAGGTGGCCTTTGGGAAGTGGTCTCGTCTAGCTTGCGTTAAATAAAAAGTATAATTGCATTTAGCTCTAACCAGGTTTGCAAAGGTTAGAAATCAGAGGTTCCTGTGTGTTAAGCTTTCCCACCCTGCACCATTGCAGCTCAAGAGTAAACGTTCCTGCATGGAATTTGACTTCATAAGTGCAAAAGATGAGGATGGCAATCAGCCAGTTATTCTCACAGCAAAGTTGTGACAACTGTCCCCGCTGTTTAACTGAAGAAAAAGACCCCCTAAAACTGTGGCCATGATTCTGTTGGCATTTGATAATTTTGGGTTTTAATCCACACATTACTGGTCTTCTTAGAAGAGTGCTTAAGAGTTATGTTGTGATTTCAGCTGCCAAAATTTCTGAATTGTTTGCTGGACCTCATTTGCGAAGAAGAAAGAGGCACTTTTAAACTCAGTAGCTAATTTGACAAACTGCAAGTCTGTAGGAGGCAGTTTGAAATGTGAAGGAAACCCAACCTAATCTCCTTTGAGCTCCAGAGATAAAACTGCTTAGCTGCTATTTAGCCTTTGCATGTCAATTCCCCCCATATGCACTCCTGATGTTCTCGTTTTTATTTCAGACATTAAATAGAAAATAAATTATATGTCTCTTTCTAGGCTAGCTATGGTACTTAGCAGAAGCTTCACTACCTCCTCTTTCTGGGGGGGCTTATTTTTTTTTCCTGTTTCTATTTACTGTTGTTAGACCTCTGTGCTTAGTTTAGAGCTCACAAATTGTCAAGCCTTCTGCTTCTCCTTTTTGCATCTCAGTCACAAAATACAACAGAAACAACAAAAGGAGCACTTCAGATTGTCTTTCTACAATAGACTTACAGGATTCATTTGAAGGTTTTTATAGATATCTGAGGCTTATATCTCTGTTTTCTGGCTTTCATCTTTCTCCTGTTCTGTTCAAATGAACAACAACCCTTTTCATTTTTGTTGCACGTGCACTGATGCTGCAATGCAGTTTTCAGTGCAAATGGCCAAGAGATTTTCAGTGAAGTGGAAAATCCCTCTCACTGGTGTTTGGAGGGCTTGGACATTTGCTTTGCTCCTGGTGTGGAATTGATTGCTCTGAAATGTGTTTACTGTATAGGTGGTATCAGTGCCCTTGTCATAAACAAGACTGTTCTAAACGGGTGTGACCTTTGAGTGCTACAGATCCTTTAGGAATTAAACCAGCATGAAGTGAAATCCCTGCTATAAACTACATTCTTTCTAGAACATGAGCCACAGGCACTTTTTTAAGGCTGATTGGTTTCTCCAATATTTATCTAATCCTGCACAGGCTCATGGTCTGAGTTCATGTGTAGAGACAGTGGGGTAAGTCTTGTAGGACGGGGGTTGTTGTTCAGGACCACAGGATACCGTTTGAATTTACTGTTTACTTGAAATGTTACACTTTTAAAGGGAGTCCTCAGAGATGTTTTCATACAGAACCATTAAAGAGTAATGCTTGTCTTTCTACAAATACCATCTGTCTGAACTTTTTCACAGGGTTAATACAAATTACAGTCAGGGCTGAAATAAAAAAAGCAAAGTGTAAGGATTGAAATGGCCAGTTGGTGAGGATATGATTTTGTTTAATTTTTTTTTTTTTTTTTTTTTTGTAGTTTAGGCAAGAGATCTGCAGATTTCAGGCATATTCCTTCCAAGTAAATCAGCCAGAATGTTCCTGCAGAAACATAGAAACAGTTATCTGGGAGGGCAGAGTGGAGATGAAGGGCATGACTTCTGCAGACAATAAAATTTACACAAATAGTAAAATAGTCTGCCAAACGAACAGACCAGGCTGTTCTTCTGTTGCTGGTGATTTCCAGGCCTATAGTACTGTCAATTAGACTTAAATCCATCAAATTATCTGTTAATTTGTGGAAACTCAGTGTCATATTTTCTTTTGTAACACGCTGAAGAATTTCCAAATGATGTTGTAAGTGCTGGTAATGCTCAACTCCCAGAGGAGGCTGCACTGTTGGGACACAGACTTTGGGCACTTTTATACTGCT